ATTGTAAAATTTCTCCCAACTTCTTTGCAAATTCAATTGTGCCCCCTAACTTTAAACTTCTGTGTCCGACCTTTCTTGCAGGGTGCTAAAGCAAACTTATCGAGCACTTATATCGACCACCTAGATCCAAATTTGGTAAAGTGTCCCTCTTCCTCTTCTTGTATTTTTTATTTCTCTCCGTTGAGTCACTCTAATCACATAAAATTTTATCATTTTCATTTTACTGTTTTTTTTCCTTCTCATTGCTTCTTTCCTCATAATTTAATTGCCAAAGCTAAAACCCCAATGTTCATTCTCAGTGCCTGCCACTTATGATTATTGGCATGTAATTTTGATTTCATTTCTTTTCTAAACTTATCCGCTCTCCTATGAAAGAGCCTACCATTCATTGCTGAACTTCATTCGTGTTCCAATCTCAAAAGTGGGTTCAGGTCCATTGTGTTCATAAGCACTGGGCTCATTTGTTTCGGGAAGAGTACTTGTGGCGTGCGGTTCTCATTAGGAGTTTTCAGTTTGCTGGCCAAGCTGAAAGATAGCTTTTTTTCTTTTTTTTTTTTGGATATTTTGAAATTTATAAATTATAATCATGCCATTAATAATTAACATTTCTTGATGGTTATTAGAATTTAAACGAACTTTTAGTGAGTGTTTTTGGGTCCTATATCACGTTGTATGATATATTTTCCAACACCTATTTGATGTTTTCTATTTCTTTCGTTCAAAATGTTAACAAAATAATATTAAAGCACTTGTAGAATACAACAAACTAAATCATATTTTTACCATAATCTGTCTATACTAAGAAACGAAGTAGTGAACAAAGAAAGTTGTATATTCCAACAAGGAAAGTTGATTTTTAAAAATGTTGACACACTAAAAATACAACCAAAATTGGATAGCCCAAAGAGTGAAACCCAATTGGAAGCCCAGGACAAAGGCACAAATGAGGTTGTTGGTAAGTGCAGAAGGAGCCCACGAACACAGTAACATCATCGCCCAAGCGTGCATGACGCCCAGAGTTTGGACGAATGGAGTACCTCACTGTCGCTCAGCGCGATAGCCTCGTTTTCACTCAAACCTTTGAGTCGCCCAGAGTCCTAATATGTGAGATATTGTGGTCATCCAGAATAGCAGTGATTGAGACAGTTATCGAGCTAATTATCATATTCTCGAGCTAATTATCATATTCCACGATTTAAGAAACCTCTTT